AGATGGTTAGAGGAAGCCAAAGTCTTCATGGAGATCGATGACGTCATCCGGTACATCCGTCAAATGAGGGTCATTTTGCCTTTATCGATTATGTATCTGGGTTTATTTGCCAGTGCAATAAGTTGAGGGACTGATTTGCCTAATTTGCCATCTTAATTCTAATTTGGGCTAGTAAATTACTGCTATCAGTACGGAGGAAATCTCTGTATACCAGAAATCAATCACCTATAAGCATTTACTAATTGTAGCATTTCATTTATTATTTGAATTGATTATTTCCTAACGGACAAATTAGGGCTACATAGATTGTAGGGGCTCCATAGATTGTTTATGTAATTGTACACATAATGAAACCATCAAGCCATTTTACCTTCTCTGTCTCTGCTAGCATCCTGTTAATCAGAAGATCATTAGCTTGTAGTAGGATGTTACTAAACGGGCCCTTAGTTTGGCAAGTGATTGACATACATATTAATTCTGCCTTGGCATTGCTTAAATTCTATTTCCTGTTCTGCATGTGGTTCACATATATTTAGCATTCTGTAGTTATGTTCTGTTACCTGCTGTGTGTTGCGAGACTCCCTGTATTGGTAATGGAGTACAGTTACGTAGCGACATCCCTTGTACTCTCAATAAATAAAATTGTTGTTTTTAGAAAAAAAGAGGAAGATCCAGTTTCTTCATTCTTACTTGCAGGGTACCAGCAGGTGCAAGACTTATTCAATGAACATTACAAAGGCATTATTGTCCTTGATGTTCCATTCCATTCTTAGCTGTTCCTGCATCTTTCAGTTTAGTTGTCTTTTCTCTGTTGCAATATCAATGAAATTTATGAAACAGACAGCTTCCCAACACTAGACATGCAAGCAATCATGGATGGAATAGAATCCACAAAATGCTTTATATGTGTAAAAGCTAATTAAGATTGAAAAATTTTAAAAAAAAAAAAAAAAAAAAGAAAGAAAAAGAAAAAGTTGATGGAATCATATCTGTCCCAAGATTTGAGCAGTAGTCACCAACATTTTGTAAAAGTATTAAAGCATACAATTGAGATGGGACAGACTGCACCCCGCAATGCTAACACAATTCCAAATCTCAATTCTCTAACCCATGATGGGTTAATAGTAGCCAAATGCATCTTATATCTAAAGAAGCAGCTCTTTATGCATGTATGAATCCAATATTCTCCACGTCTTTACACCCACAATGCCTTTTTTCATAGCTTTTTGGAAAAATAAGGTCAAGCTTTCACACACTAATCACTCTCAACTCACCCCACTAGACATAATAAAAAGCAGATCGAATATTAACCTTATAATGCACCATATATTATAAACCTAATTCTTTTCTTTTCATCTAATCAGAACTAACATCACTTCACCAACATCGAATTGGATCAAAAACATTAATATGTAGACATGAATATATGCATTCAACTTTTTTTTTCCTTCCCCATTTTTGGGGTTTTAGGCTGAAATTTAGGTAGTGTACCAATTTACTTATAACTTAGTCATGTTCTTTATTCTGCCAGTCAGGTCTTCCTAGGGTGAACTCCAAGCTTGGATTATGGAGGTGATCTGAGTTTGAACCAGAAAACCTATTTGATTGAGCAAAACTGCTTCCCTGCATATATATTGTTCAATTCAAAGATCTATATCATAGGCATTCATTTTTGGAGAAGTTAATTAATATGACCTTCAAACTGGATTTAATTTGGTGATCACTAACCTCATCAAACTGGTTTTCTGTTGTTTGTTGAGATGATATGGTTTCTGGTGCAGTTTCACCTGGATTCCTTGAATGCGACAAACAATCTCCTCCACTGCAACAGATTATAAAAATATACATTAAGCTATAGATTCATCAACTTTCTTTATAATAAGAAGCAGTTGATAACATTAAGAGAATTAAGAAGTGTTTTTCACTGTATAGTAACACAGTTGCTTTTCTATTTGGTAATACCTGAAACAACACTTCATCCATGACACAGTTAATTTTTCTACCAGATGTATAGACATTTAGATACATTTAATATTGCTTGTTCGAAATCATCAAATTTATTCCAACAACAGAGTGCTAACTGTGCTAAACTTATCGCAGTCAGCGGTACACTGCAGCTGCTATATATCATACAATCCTAAAGACTATATATCTTCACAAGTTACATATGGAGAGCAGCCATATGTCAATGAACAAGAGCTAGTGCCGACCAAAAAAATAAGAAAAAAATAATGAGCAAGAGCTACCAGGGAAGAAGTGGTAATTCCTTTAATTTCTTCCAAAATAAACATTAATTTGAGTGCGTGCCCCCTCTAAAAGGTTCTATCTATTGGAAAATGCAGTTTCTATTCATTATCATGTTGAAAGTGGTAGATTTATAATCTTCAAGGATATTTATTCATCATGTGATGATTGATGCCATACTTAGCAGAGACACTGAAAATTGGAATGAAAGTGACTTCAACACTAATATCCCACTTTCTGTATCCTTTTGAACAGCAAAAGGACCTAGCTTGTATAGAATCAAAAACCTTGTTTGCGTCCACTTGAATGTTTTTGAACACCAAATAATTCCTAGCTAACCACAGGGACCATATTCTTATATATATAACATCTTCATTCATGAAATTTAATACGAATGGCAACCTTTTTTATATAAAACAAGAGCAAAGCCTTTTGGTTTTCATTAGCTTTCCTTGGCCTTTTGGTTTTCATTAGCTTTCCTTGGCCTTTTGGTTTTAATTTATTTTTGGCCTTCAGCCTTTGGTTTCTAATTGGCTGTGTATTAGAATGTGATATGGAAAGCAAATACGGCAAACAAAAAAAGACAATCTATTTAGTAGGGTTTCAAAAATTGAAATTCCAAACTGAAAACTTCCTGAGAGTAATTAGTTTTCTTTTTCATTTTTCTTGTTTGGAAGGTTTTATAATTCTCAAAATTTTTAAATAATATATATAAGCAAAAATAAATGAATTTAAAATATTTAATAAATATTATATGAAATTTATGAATTTATAAATTGATTTATTTCATTTATATATTATACAAATAAATCAAATAAATCTAACTTAATTAGTATTTTTTCTTCAATGAAACAGAAATTAAGTTGATTTTTTTTTTGGTAAAAAAGATTGCATTGAACTTGATCCATATAATTAATATAATTATAATTAATTTATCTTTTCATGTACCATATGACATCAAACACATTTTATTTTCTAATTTCATTTTTTTCAACAGTAAACTGTCTTTGTTCAAAGAAATTAGAAAGACTAAAATAAGGAGTGATCTTCTGTTGCACAATCCATAATCTTATGTTTAAAAAAAACCAAATATTCTGCCCTTTCATTTCTTGCATCCTTTCTCTTAGGGAGTATATATATTCTCAATAATCAAATATCTAATTAAAAATGTAGCTGCAAAAAATAGCTCATGGAAAGTTAGCTTGTTGATGGGTTGCTTATAATTGATTATGTTAAAAGAATATATTGTTCATATAGTTGACTGTGTTGGAATATAATGGATTACATGAATTTTTTTATATAATTGATTATATTTATAATGTATTCAACTTTATACACCCAGAAACTTTCCTTCAAAGTTTTTTAATGTTGAAGCACTTTCAAGAGTAAATAATCAATTATAACCATCCGTAATTGATCATGCCTCGTAGCCCTAAATTGTTTCCTTCCAAGTGCGCCACAACTCACATCTGAAAGATGGAATTAACATTTAAAGGCTGGGTTTTGTGTTGTTTGTGATAATGCATAGGAGGACTGATTTTCGTCACGGGTATAGTGTCGACACTTAGAGTGGGTGTCGACACCTTGCTATTTCACTCATGTAATTGTGGGCTTCTCAAACAGTATTGTTATGGGTTTGGGGTACCCCTTTACTCCGTTTTTAATAAATATAATTTTTGCTGTTCAAAAAAAAAAAACAGAGACTCCTCACAAGAGACTCCCCTACCCATTGTGGGGAGTCTCTGTTTTTACTTTCTAACATGGACTTTCCTTTTTTCAACTTTTGGGTTTATGTTGATTGATACTTTTCTCTTCTAGATGTGACTTTTCAAGAGTCTATTTTGGTTTTATGCATGAGAGAGGGGTGTTTCTCTTAGGGCAAGATTGGTTTGCAAGGAACCCGAAGGAAATTTTTTGGGGAAGCCAAGAGTCCATGCATATATAGTTGGCTTTGTCCTGGATTCAATAATTTTGGCACAAAAACCAATGCAATAATATAATCAACTATGTTATTAGTATGATTGGTTTGGTTAACATAGTTGAATGTGAAGAGAATAGATTGTTCATATAATCAATTGTGTTAGGATACAATCAATTACATGACTTTTTGTTGATATAGTTAGTTATATTTGGAATGTGACCAACTATATACACTTGGAGAATTTTCTTCCGAGTTTTTAAATTGGGAAGCACTTTCAGGGATACATAATCAATTATACTCATTTGTAATCGATTATACCCCATGTCCTTGGAATGTTTTCTTCAAAGTGCAAACCACAGCTTACGGCTTCGTGGTTTCTAGGGAAACTTGTTTAGGTTCCTTGTGAACCAAACACATATGCTCTTAGAGTCTCTATTGGTTGATTAAATAAAATATTGTGAATTGCGATAATGTGGCATGAAGTGAGACTCAAAATTAGTCTCTCCCTTTTTGGATGCTCTTAAAAGCCAAACTGTAGACCCTAATTTTGAACATGTTTTGAAATTTACTATAATGATTTCTTAAAACACCACCTAAATTGATAAAACCTAATATATAAATAAAGTCTCTAACACACTCAATTAGAATTGAACTCATATATGGATGATTACAATGGCGAAGCTGGAGCTTATTATAGGTTAAGGGCAATTAATGCAAAGAATTCATCTTACACTTCGGACATCAGACCTTGAAACATTTGAGCTCTCAGCAAAAAATTAGTCGGTATCATGTGCTGCTTGGAGTGAACTTCAAGTAATGAACTAGGAGAATGCAATACCATAAGCTAGCTCTTACAGTCAACAGAAATTGCCATAGTGACAACAGAAACAGCCATCGACTAAAGAAAATATGTCCGACTTCCATTTGTTGTTTACTTTGCATTAATTGCCTTCTTAACTTAAGTTTTATAAATAAGCCCACCGCCTTCATCATTGTAATCATCCATATTGAGTTCAATTACAACTGAGTGAATTGGGAGTCTTGTCTCTCATTTTTTCTTTGTATCTTAAGTCTTGCCAGTAGCCAACCTAAATAGTGTTCTAGTTCTAGGCTAAGAAATTATCATGGTGGGGTGGGGTTCAAAACCTTGCCAAAGTTGGTGTTCCTGAAATTGCTTTTCCTAATTCAGTTTCTAAACCGATCCCTATGTGGGTTGTGATAAGTGAACTTAAGTCTCCAAATTACAAAGAAGATGTGCTTAACTCCCATGTGATTTGAGAAAAGGAAATAGTGTTTTTAAGTGCAAACTGGCAAAAAATTGAACTGAAAATAGTGTTTTTAAGTCCGTGCTATTGAATATGTGTTGAGAGTAGATGTTAAGCGTCCTTCCAACAGGAATTTTTGTGTTGCCTTTGTTCCTAGTCGGTTAGCTGGGAGAGTGAGAATCCCAGATAACTTTCTTGGTTCAAAATTGCCTCCTTGTTTTGTAAGCATGGGTTGGGAATGAACATTTTTATGCTTGCAAGTTGCAAGGCGTCTCTTATTTTGTTGATCTTCCACCTGAGCCTTGGGAAGTTTATTTGTAGGTGTGGTCTTGTGGCCTAATTTTCATATATAGCTTGTGCCCTTTCATTCTGCTAGCTAGTGTAAGATATTAGATTAGCCCTTATATATAGTGGTATAGTTATTCCGTTCTTGTAAACCTTTTAGCTCATGATACATGACAATGATAACTTTTTTTGTAAAAGATAAAGGTTAATACCCACATACACATTTCTGTTAATTAATTTAAAAAGCCTGACCCTAATATCCAGTCAGTTTTGAAGTTTTCAATTCTAAAAAACACCAAAAAGAAAAAAAAATCTCAAATAGAATGAATTTTTTTTTTTTTGTCAAAAATGATTTTTTTTTGAATGGTGTCGCATGGTATGCAGGTAAAGTAAGATAAAAGATGAGAGATAATTTTTTTTTTGAATGTTCGTGGAAATGATTCCTCTTTTTTTTTTTTTTTGGTTAAAAAATAAATGTAGAAGTTGACTACAATAATACTATACCCCTTTTTGGCCAAATACCCTATTTTCCGACTAATGCATGATGGAGTGTAAAAATTATATAATAAGACACTGGAATTATATATATATATATATAAGTGTGAGTGAAATATGTTTGAGTCACACTTGTAAAAAGAATTAGATGAAAAAAAATTTTTAATTATATAATTTTAATAAACTCTTACTAAAATAACATAATTTTTGAATAAGAATGAATTATTTTAGTCTTTTATTAAAAGAACATATTGTTAAAATATTTTTTTTCTTAATTTTTTACAAATTTGGGTGATAAACACTCATTTCAAACGATATACACACATACATATGAAGAAAAAGTATATATTAATTCTAATTTAAAAAAAAATTAAGGTTTCAATCTTCATTTAATTAAAATTTAATTTAAAATTCAAAAATACATTTTATTAAATGTTAATACTTGAATTTGAAAACTAAATTGGTTTCTAAATTTATATATTTATATTTAATAAAATATATTTTTAAATGTTAAATTAAGTTTTTAATTTTTAAATATATAATATTAATAAATTTATGTAGTTTTAATGAATTCTTATGTGACCATATTTACACTTCAAACAAAGAATTAAGTGTAATTTTCTTTTGTATCTC